TTATCTTACCTACCCAGAAATGGCAGCATTGACAGCTGCCAACAGTGGCAACTCTGGCCACGGAAACATAAATGGACAGATCCACGTTATGTATGCTAGAGTACACCCTCGCTTGCAGTCATTCATTATATATGTAATTTATACCTTTATAGCTGAATGAATAAATCATTCTTTGTGAATTATTCAGCACATTTAGGTCTCCATTTGCTCACCAATCATGATTTCCTCAAATGTATTCCTTATTCAAATTATTTTGACGAATGTCTCTTCCAAGTTTTCTAGTACTGATTGTGAGTATTCTAAATGTGAGGGTTTTTTCCCCTTTAGATGTGATTTGTTATGTGGTATTATTTCCCTTCCCAATACAGACTAGAATCCATCCGATTTGCTTAGAGCTGTGTTGCCTCTGAAGTGCTAACTGGAATAAAAACCTAGTAAAAACCAGTGTGGGCAGATATGAATACACACGGGGAGCAGATCAATTGAATAAGGTGCCATTTTAACATAGCCAGTTTTCAATTTAAACTGGTGGACTTTTTAAAATTTAACTGTTACAGATAAATGACTGCTAATCAAAACTGTTAGTTTTGCACTCTAAATTACCTCTCCCAAAAGCAATGGATTTAAATATACTGGACTTTAAGCCACCTTTGCAGCCTACAGTTTAATCCCTGAGAAATCCTGACGACTGCTTTAACTTGGACCCTGATTGAGGAAGGTATTTAAGCATGTGCCTAACGTTAAGCATGTGAGCAGTCCCATTGTTTTCAGTGGAAGTACTCATGTTTAAAGTTACACTCAAGCTTGCTGAATTAGGGCCTGAGCCACAAGGAACCTGGCAGTCAACATGCTGTAAGAGTTGCCCCAGCAACATCTCTCTTTTCACTAGATACACCCCCTACATTATGGGCCAGGAATGAGACGCATAAGAGGCCTCATAGTTACTTTATGCCAGGGATCGGCAACCTTCGGCACGCGGCATGGTTTGTTTACCTGCAGCGTCCGCAGGTTCGGCCAATCGCAGCTCCCACTGGCTGTGATTCGCTGTTCCAGGCCAGTGGGGGCGGCAGGAAGCAGCGTGGGCCGAGGGATTTGCTGGCCACTGCTTCCTGCAGCCCCCATTGGTCTGGAACGGCGAACCGCGGCTAGTGAGAGCTGCGATCGGCCGAACCTGTGGACGCTGCAGGTAAACAAATTGTTCTGGTCCGCCAGTGGATTTCCCTGACGGGCCGCGTGCCAAAGGTTGCCGATCCCTGCTTTATGCTGTTCAAAGACTTTCCATCTCAGGTGAAATTTTCAAGGAGCCAGTTAAGGCTGCTTTAGTGCTGCAAAGCAGCAAGGAAGGGGCTGAGGACAAACTATATAAAGTGAAAATAAGTACATGTATGAGTACAGCCTGGTGAAAACTTTTGTAAAGAGATGGAGGGCAAAGGCTTTGATTCCCATTAAACTACAACCTCCTAAATAAGTATATCATTTTTAAAAGTAAGAGTATTGTGCTTCCTAGGTTGAAATTGATAAGAAATATCAAAGGTTAAGTGGAAAGTAGAACACTTTTCTAAAAACTTGCATCAGAACTGCCAAACTGATACCACAGGTAAATCATTGCTGGATCTGAGTACCCAACCTGATTCTAACTGTTGCAATTAATGTCAGTTCTTAGGTAAATATTTTTTGTAACTCTGTAAGTTAGCTGCCTAAATAATTGAGGCTTATATAACAAATCCTGCCAGCTACTTAAATTACTGACAGTGTTTCTTTCAATTCTTATCACGGTATTGGCCTGCCCAGTCTTGTCCACTAGCTTCCATGCGCTCTGTATCGAGCCCTACAAGAGTTCAATTAAAAACATTAATAAAACAGTGTAGCTTGTAATTTGTAGAAGAGAATTTAGATCTGTTGGTCATACTGTGCCCTGGATTCAGTGCAAAGTCAGTCAACGTTATAACTAAGTGAACACAACAAATAAAATAACATTAAGGGTTGAATGCACCACTTGATTCACAAGCAAAGAATTTCAAGATCAGGCTTCATGTATTTCGGATTCAGAATCAGAAGATCTCCCAACTTTGAGCATTTTAGTAGTGGAAAATACTACAGAAACATGGTTCAGTGCAGTATTTGGCTGGTCGTTAATCTTTTGCACATCACTTCCAATGGGATGTTACTGTGTGTATATAATGGCACCACAGATATGTTATGACTTGCATATAAGGTTATCAACAATATCTTCTGTTATTTACACTGATTTAAGACTAAGCGTCAAACACAGTAACAAAGGAATTAGGCATTCATGCTTCTATGCCATTTTTATCTCCTGTATTGAAACCAAAATATTGGTGTATGGTACATAGGGAGTGTAAGATGACTGCCTGGTTTGAGAGTTCCTGTCAGAGAACCATATGTACTACAGCATTTAATATGAGTCTGTTTTCTTCTCCATATACCTGTGGAACTCCATTGATGTCAACGTGAGTTATGCATGTGTGGCCAATATGAATGCTATAACAGCTTTAAGTTGGAATTCTCTTGCTGTTTTGTATTAAGATTTGACTTTTAAGACCAAATTTTCAGTCGTGGCCACAACAAATGCACCAGGAAATATGCCAGCTTATCTGCTATGCCTTGCACACTTTTATATTTGCATAAGTGAATTGGTGTGCAGTTACTCAATCTGTGTATGCAGTTTTGGTGTTTTGTTTCATTGAATCTCCTTTTGTTCACATTAATTGCTGTTCATTTGAAGGGCAGTCAGCATAATAACCTTCATTTTGCAATGAATAGGTTGACATAGTAAGAAAACTTATTTTACACACTAACCAGATCTGTTACATAGTCCCTTGCATCTGGGAGATGCCAGAACTGTTATAAAAATGAAATATTGTGTGTATTACTATTGTGTATATTTACCAGCTAATTTAAATATAGGTATCTTGGATGTTTTTTTCTTTTCATCATTGACTAATGACCTAAACTGGTGGTGGCGGTTGTTGTTTTTAATTAAGCCCATTTTGCTTAGGAGAAGTGTGGCCCTAAAGTTAAAGCACAAATTTATTCAAGAGAGTTGGTTTCTTTTCCCAGCTATACCACAGACTTGCTTGGTGATATGTGATAGATCATTCATCCTCTCTTTGTCTCAATTTACTTATCTATCACTTGAAAATAAAAATCCTTACCAACTGAGGCTTATTGCATTGTTATAGAGCACTTTAATATCTTTGGCTGGAAGGTGCATTAGAAGTGGAAAGTAATATATTATTACTTGACAAGAAAAAAGCACCTGAAAACCAAGAGAACTGGATGTTTTGGTCAGTTTGTAAGAGACAAGTAGTTTTCTGGATTTAAGTGACTTATGTCAAGAAAATGTGCTTGTGACAGATAACCCTTATATAAATTTGATTCAGTTCTTAGGCAGGGCATCTTCATAAACTGCTGTTTATTTGTGTTGCAGTAGCTACCAAAGGGCCCAGTCTGAATTGGAACCCTTTCATGATAGGCACTGTAAAATCTCATAGCTGGGGCCCTACCAAATTCATGGTCCATTTTGGTCAATTTCACAGTCATAGGATTTTTAAAATCATAAATTTCATGATTTCAGCTATTTAAATGTGAAATTTCACTGTGTTGTAATTGCAAGGGTCCTGACCCAAAAAGGAGTTTGAGGGGAACAAGGTTATTGTATGGGGGTTGCAGTACTGCTACCCTTACTTCTGCACTGTTGCTGGCGGCAGTTCTACCTTCAGAGCTAGGCAGCTGGAGAGCGGCAGCTGCTGGCCAGGAGCCCAGCTCTGAAGGCAGAGCCGCTGCCAGCAGCAGCACAGAAGTAAGGATGGCCTGGTATGGTATTGCAACCCTTACTTCTGTGTTGCTGCCTGCAGAGCTGAGCCTTCAGTCAGCAGCCGCCACCCTCCAGCCGCTCAGCTCAGAAGGCAGCAGCGCAGAAGTAAGGGTGGCATGGTATGGTATTGCCATCCTTCCTTCTGCACTGCTGCTGGTGGGACGCTGCCTTCAGAGCTTGGATCCTGGCCAACCATTGCCGCTTTCTGGCCACCCAGCTCTGAAAGCCATGCAGAAGTGAGGATGGTAATACCACAACCCCCCTAAAATAACCTTGCGATTCCCCCTGCAACTCCCTTTTGGGTCAGGAGCCCCAATTTGAGAAATGCTGTTCTCCCCTGTGAAGTCTGTATAGATTAGGGTAAAAGCACACAAAAGACCAGATTTCATGGAGGGAGACCAGATTTCACAGACCGTGATGTGTTTTTCATGGCCGTGAATTTGGTAGGGTCCTACTCATAGCATGAACAGTCTCTACCCTAAGAGTTTACAATCTAGTTTAATGGTCTCAAGGTGCATTTGCACTCGCTAGTTAGGTAGTTGGGTAATCAAATGTAGTTTGTGTTCACAGATCTGTGGCCCTCACTCTATGTTGCTGTCACAGCAGTGCATGCCTTTATCAGTTGAAGAGGAATGGAAGCTATAGAAAGCTATGGCTCAGTTGCTGCTTCTTTCAATGTGGAAATTTTGGGACCTGATTCTTCAGTGTTGGTCTAGTTTTATAGTTACAGGTGTAACTCCATGATTTCAATGCAGGTGCTCCAGCATTAAGCTGGAGTAAAGCTATGATGGCTCTCTATCTTTGGATACTAGAGCCTGTAACACAAAACTTCACTTTTCCTCTGTTAGGACATTGGTGTGATGTACACTAAGCATACCCATGAGCCTGGGTCCAGTTTTTATGTGTTGGTACTCAGGCTTGAATACCTGAATCCACATTTGGGAACTCTCATTGAAACCCGGCTCCCGCCATCTGTACTTAAGGTTATTACCTCAGTTGTTGGGATGAATCATTTTCAGAGGTCTGAGATCTCTACGTATGTAAATATATTTGCACAGTGAGTCACATGCATGTTGTTGTTGTGATAAGGTGAATTTTCTTGTTTTGGTGACATTTTTTCAGCCACATTTTGAAGTGACTGAGGTTTCCTCTCTTTCTGTAGGAATGCTCCCCCTATGCTGCTCACTTGTATGATGCTGAGGATCCTTCCACTCCCTTGCGGACAGTGGCAGGACTTTGCCAAGAATACTGTGAGCAGATGTGGCAAAAATGCAGGTCCATGTTTCGCTATCTCTCTATGGACAAAGAATTATTAGTCCTGGAAAACAATATGGCAAAGTTCTGCCGCTATTTGTCACTTGATGATGTGGACTATTGTTTCCCTCGCCTGCTGGTAAATCAGAATCTTAATCAAAACCTTGGGTTAGTGACTGCTGACTCAGAGGGCTGTCTCCAGTTGTGCCTATTAGAGGTAGCTAATGGTCTGCGGAATCCTGTTGCTATGGTGCATGCAAATGATGGAACTCACAGATTTTTCATTGCCGAACAAGTTGGTTTAGTTTGGACCTACCTCCCAGATCGGTCAAGGCTGGAAAAGCCATTTCTGAACATCAGTGAAGCAGTACTTACCTCACCTTGGGAAGGAGACGAGAGAGGTTTTTTAGGTATTGTCTTCCATCCTAAATTCAAATTTAATGGTAAAGTGTATGTCTACTATTCAGTTGAAGTTCATTTTGAAGAGAGAATCCGAATAAGTGAGTTCAGAATTTCTCCTGATGACATGAATACTTTGGACCATAGTTCTGAAAGGTATTGTATACACATTTATCTGTCAAATTTATTTAAGATTTCAAAGAAAATTTCATGCATTTTTAAAGGCCTGCTAACACAATAAACAAGATTAATTTGGCTTAATATTGCTCTTTCGTTCTAATTTTATATGAAGTAAGTCCTAGTCTATTTATACTGTAACTTTAAAGGGGGAAAAGGACATTAATTCATAATTGAGATTTGATTTTAATGTACAAAGGTCAGAAAATTCAAAACCCTTTCCCCAAGAGTAATTGTACCTGCTTCATTTTGCACAGGTATGTATTAAGGTATAAAAGATACATGTTCAATGTGGATGAATTACAGTTGCCCTGGAATAAAACATTTGAATTTCCTAACTGTTGAATATCTAAAGATTTAACTGTAATGTTGCATAAAGTTTTTTGCATTTAATTTCCTTGGTTTGACAGCTGTGTAAGAAAGAAAAAGGAGAGAGAGAAACCTTGACCACAAGTATACTTCTGCGCTGTGAGTCAAGTTCATCCCTACTGGAATGTCACTGAAGTCAATATAAATGAAGTCAGCGATGTTACACCAAAGATTAATTTGGCCCAGTATGCTTAGCTGAGTGATGGTGCATTCCTATGGTGTGTGCATTCAAATAAATGTGTATCTTTTCGAATGAAATAAATACAGTTGCATTTATTTGAATTTGCCATGCTCTTCCTATAATCACACTGTTATGAGCACATTTTGGGCTCATCAACTCAGCACATTTAAAGTTACTAGAAAATAATATTTTAATTCATCACTCTTAAAGCAGAGGCTCTGAAAACCATCTTACTTGCCACTTCATATGCTCATCTATCATACACTTCCTTTCCTTCCCTCCCCACAGTCTCACACGCATTAATATGAAAGGGCTTTCTCCTGTGCTATTGCCCTCATAGACAGCCTCTCTATATCTCTGTTTTGACTATCCATCTCTTTTAAAATGTCCTCCTAAAATCTACCTGTTCTCTCTTCTCAGTGCCTTTCAGTATCTTCTTCAGCTACCCTGAAGTGTTGTATAATTCTGCAGCTATAGTATCTGTTGTTATTTATTACTCTTATAGGCACAAAATTCAGAGAGAGGATGGTTCGGGGTACTAGTTTAGGGCTTGGGAGAGCTCAAGTCCCTGCTGTGCCACCGACTTCCTGTGTGACCTTGGACAGATCAGTTAGCCTCTCTGTGCCTCAGTTTCCCATCTGTAAAATGGGAATTAATACCACATTTCTACCTCACAGGGTGTTGTGAGGATAAATTAATTAAATATTATGAGGTCCCCAGATACCATGGTAATGGGGGACCCTATAAATACCTTAGCTAGATAGAAATGTGTAATAATTATGCAACTTCCTGAGATACATTTGTATGAGACACTATATAAGATAATTCTAATTACTATATATGCCAAACCAAAATATGCACAGTAAATTATGAAATGTGTGAAGTGCATAGAGTATTATTTAAAAAGAATACATTTTGCATGTAATAATCTTATGCATTTTAAAAGTTTCCATTACAGTGAATTGGAGCATCCTATTCTTCTAAAACAAGGCATCCCTGAAGGCAGTGTAAGGTTTTGGTTTCATAAATGTTGATGTTTCATTGCTTAATATACGGAATTAAGGCACAGGCCAAACATATTAACTGCACTATTTTTAAGCATAACTATATTTTTCTTATTAAAAATGTTTTACGGATTCTGAGTTAGCTAATCTGATTCTGCTCTTGCTCTGCACCTACAGTGCAAAGATAATTGAAGTTTTGCATGTAGGACAAAGCAGGACTGATTTATAAAGTTTATAATCTGGGGTAGGACCGTAAAATTACAGTTTTATGAGAGCACTGAATATTATTCATTTTAATATCTTTATGCTAGCACCCACAATGTGTTAGGTACTTTCCAAACACTCAAGAATGAGGATCCTTGCTCCAAAGAAGTCACAATCTAGTGACAGACAGAGGCTAGGGGAAGAGGAATGACAGTTTATGTATGTCAGCTTAGTTCCCTTTAGGCAGAATGGCAGAAGTGAGTCTTTAAAAGGAATTTAGATGTGAACAGGAGAAGAGCCTTGAGAAATGAATCAGCGGCCTAAACCTGCAAACGTTTACTCTCATGCTGTGCTGTTGAATGAAGACCCATCAGGCTCTAAGTTTGTAACCTCTTCCATAACTACTACAATGTTCATTACAAAAATAGATTCATGCTGCAACCTGAAAAAAGCAAACCCTGGTCCTGCTGTCCTTACGTTGGCAAGGCTTCCATTGACTTCACTGTGAATATTCTCCAGAGGTGGATAGTCAGGCCTGCAACCCTGCTTGGGGTTCCATTAGCATTAAGAGTGAGAATGTATATGTTCTATTTGCCTTCAGGTTTATTAATAACTCAGTTTGTCTTGCTGTACTGAAAAATCCCTTTGCTTTGGGAGCAGCTGAACAGAAAGCAGGTTTCTATTGCTTACAGTATCCTTCTTCACTTTTACACGTGGGTAGTGTTTTGATCTGCTGTTGAACAGCTACTCCATTCTAGAGGTGATGAAGTTTAGTGGTGGATGAATTGATCCTTACGTGGCTAGTTTATCTGTTTACAGTGCGCTTTAGGATCTTTCAAAAGGAGAGGGGACAACATTAATGCAACATATTGCAATTTGTTGTTATCTGATCAATTATTTTTACAGATATTAGAGACTGTCAACCTGAAATACAGGGTTTTTTTTAAATAAGAAAGTAAAATACATTTCAAGTGTTACACTTGCCCCGAATCACACTGCCAGAATGTGTATTTTTTTTAATCATGTTTTCTTATATTTAATTGTTTGCTATACTTAGTGATGCCAAATGCACGAAGTAAAAAAGCTGAAAACAGATTTCTTTCCTCAAATTTCTTTCAGTTAACAAAAATGTTAGGTGTTGTTTTGAACAATAATCAGAATACTTGTGTTGACAGAGTGTGAATATGTTAAGGATGTCCCTTTAAAAATAATTTAAGTTTGTGGTTCAGTAATTTACAGATTCCAGGAGCAAGTGAAATATGCATCTGTAATTCTCCTTAATCATTTGTGCCTCAAGCCTTGAGTTTTATTGTTGTTATTTAATATTTGTAAAGAAGTAGCTCTGAACGCTCCAGTCAGAATTGTAGCCGCATTGTGCTGGGCGCTGTGCAAATGCACAAGTAGACCTCGGTCCTACACCTTATAGCTTACAGTCTGATTGGAAACGAGAAGCAACAAACAAAAGGCACGAAGAGGGGGAGGACAGGGGTAACAAAAAAAAAATACAGGTTACACAGGTTCCTTACTGTACAATGTGATGGTTCCATATAATTTAAAATGTTGTGAATTTATCTAAAATAATAAAATCAACTGTCTGCCCTGTTGCACCATTTGGGATTCCAGATGACTAGTGCACAATACTGTATGGCTCAAAAAATAGTGTGTCTGAAATCAAAAGCTGGCCCACTGTGTGTAGCACGTAAAAGAAACATCTCTGATTTCTCTAGAGCGAGGACAAAGCAAAATTCTATAACCAGGGTCTGGAGGAAGATTTGTGTTTTTCCTGGTCCGCATACAGTGTGCTACTGTGCCTTTTGATTATAACTTACCCAATGTTGATAATGCTTCATTCCTGTTTATGATCAGGATAATTCTGGAGGTAGAAGAGCCAGCTTCCAATCACAATGGAGGAGAGCTACTCTTTGGATATGATGGTTATCTTTACATATTTACTGGGGATGGAGGCATGGCTGGCGATCCTTTTGGGACGTTTGGAAATGCTCAAAACAAGTATGAGCCTCTAAGTCTGTGTGCAACTTTGTGTGTTGGGGGCAGGGAGGGGGGAAGTAAAAGAAATAAGCCATGGGGAGAGGAACTGCATTTTTCTAGGTTTCAAAGTAGCAGCCGTGTTAGTCTGTATCTGCAAAAAGAACAGGAGTACTTGTGGCACCTTAGAGACTAACAAATTTATTTGAGCATAAGCTTTCGTGGGCTACAGCCCACTTCATTGGATGCATGTAGTGGAAAATACAGTAGGAAGATATATATATACACAGAGAACATGAAACAATGGGTGTTACCATACACACTATAAGGAGAGTGATCAGTGAAGGTGAGCTTTTATCAGAGGAGAGAAAAAGAACTGTTTGTAGTGGTAATGAAAATGGCCCATTTCCGGCAATTGACAAGGAGATATGAGGAACTGTAGGGGGAGGGGGGAAATAAGCATGGGGAAATATACCGAGCAGGGGTATTCTGTCTGCTACCCAAGATCCATAAACCTGGAAATCCTGGATGCCCCATCATCTCAGGCATTGGCACCCTGACAGCAGGATTGTCTGGCTATGTAGACTCCCTCCTCAGGCCCTACGCTACCAGCACTCCTAGCTATCTTCAAGACACTTCCTGAGGAAACTACAATCCATTAGTGATCTTCCTGAAACACCATCCTAGCCACTATGGATGTAGAAGCCCTCTACACCAACATTCCACACAAAGATGGACTACAAGCCATCAGGAACAGTATCCCCGATAATGTCACGGCAAACCTGGTGGCTGAACTTTGTAACTTTGTCCTCACCCATAACTATTTCACATTTGGGGACAATGTGTACTTTCAAATCAGTGGCACTGCTATGGGTACCTGCATGGCCCCATAGTATGCCAACATTTTTATGGCTGACTTAGAACAACACTTCCTCAGCTCTCGTCCCCTAACGCCCCTACTTTACTTGCGCTACAGTGATGACATCTTCATCATCTGGACCCATGGAAAAGAAGCCCTTGAGGAATTCCATCATGATTTCAACAATTTCCACCCCACCATCAACCTCAGCCTAGACCAGTCCACACAAGAGATCCACTTCGTGGACACTACAGTACTAATAAACGATGGCCACATAAACACCACCCTATACTGGAAAACTACTGACCGCTATACTTACCTACGTGCCTCCAGCTTTCATCCAGACCACACCACTCGATCCATTGTCTACACTGCAGCCAAGCTCTACGATATAATCGCATTTGCTTCAACCCCTCAGACAGAGACAAACACCTAAAAGATCTCTATCAAGCGTTCTTACAACTACAATACCCACCTGCTGAAGTGAAAAAACAGATTGACAGAGCCAGAAGAGTACCCAGAAGTCACCTACTACAGGACAGGCCCAACAAAGAAAGTAACAGAACGCCACTAGCCATCACCTTCAGCCCCCATCTAAAACCTGTCCAGCGCATCATCAAGGATCTACAACCTATCCTGAAGGACGATCCATCACTCTCACAGATCTTGAGAGACAGGCCAGTCCTTGCTTACAGACAGCCCCCAAACCTGAAGCAAATACTCACCAGCAACCACACAACAAAAACACTAACCCAGGAACCTATCCTTGCAACAAAGCCCGTTGCCAACTCTGTCCACATATCTATTCAGGGGATATCATCATAGGACCTAATCACATCAGCCACACTATCAGAGGCTCGTTCACCTGCACATCTACCAATGTGATATATGCCATCATGTGCCAGCAATGCCCCTTTGCCATGTACATTGGCCAAACCGGATGGTCTCTACGCAAAAGAATAAATGAACACAAATCAGACGTCAAGAATTATAACAGTCAAAAACCAGTTGGAGAACACTTCAATCTCCCTGGCCAATCGATTACAGACCTAAAAGTCGCAATATTACAACAAAAAAACTTCAAAAACAGACTCCAATGAGAGACTGCTGAATTGGAATTAATTTGCAAATTGGACACCATTAAATTAGGCTTGAATAAAGACTGGGAGTGGATGGGCCATTACACAAAGTAAAACTATTTCCCCATGCTTAACCCCCCCCACCCCCCCCAGTTCCTCATATCTCCTTGTCAATTGCTGGAAATGGGCCATTTTCATTACCACTACAAACAGTTCTTTTTCTCTCCTGCTGATAAAAGCTCACCTTCACTGATCACTCTCCTTATAGTGTGTATGGTAACACCCATTGTTTCATGTTCTCTGTATATATATATATCTTCCTACTGTATTTTCCACTACATGCATCTGATGAAGTGGGCTGTAGCCCATGAAAGCTTATGCTCAAATAAATTTGTTAGTTTCTAAGGTGCCACAAGTACTCCTGTTCTTTTTGTATTTTTCTAGTTATGTTTATTGTTTCCTTAAATGTGTAATTCCAGTTTCCTCAACAGACATTAAAGCAGTATTCTTGTCTTTTGAAGGTAAAAATTACAGGAATTATAGAAAATGCCTTTGGTTTTAATTTCATGCTATAATGCAATAAAACCTAGATATGTTGACTCCAAGTCCTGTGGCTTATCCATTAGACCATGTTTCCATTAAACCAAAATGTCTTCATTTAAAAATAAATAATTCAGAACGGAGCTCTTCCCTAATCTAGATTATGCAATTTTGCAATGCTGAACAAACACCCACAATACTTACATTTGGAAATTAGCTGCTGACTATGCACTGCATTTCGTTTTCCTTACACTTTCAGTATGTAGCATAGTTGCCATAATGAACCAAGTGCTGTCATAAATCTTGTTACTATATAGGAAGCTTTGTTACTGCAACCCTTTCTTTGCATATTAAGCATTGTTATTATGCTAATTTACATTACAACAGTAACGAATGTGTTTTTTAAAGAGCTATTAAAATCTGAAACACAAACCCAATTTTTAGCCACAATATACTGAACTGAGCCCAGTTTTCTAGGATCTAGATGGGGACTATAGAACTTTTCACTTCCAAGACACCAGTTTAAATCTGCCATGTTGGTAGTCCCAAAAAGTCATTACTATATGAAGGCTGTTCAGTGGCCCATGCAAAATGAGATGGATGGTCTTGGTCCAGTTGCTTAAGTACAAATATCCAGATAACAAAAAGTTCTACCACAACTGGCACCCTTGTTGGCAGCAAAGAGGCCAATGTCTGATTGGGCAAGGAAACTGCCCTCACCCTGGGAGGTGATCCCATTAATCTTCCCTGCTGGATCTTGGTGAGGAAGCTTGCACTGCTGCCGCCACCTATTCTGGGGATAAATAGAGGGCTTCCGTCCATCTGGCATTTTTCATGAGCAATAAATTCACTTAGGCTGCAGTCCTGCAAACGCTAACCTGACAATTTAACTTTTCTCCCATTCTCCCATAGCAGTCACACTGAGGTCTATAGATCTCCTCAGATGCTTAAAGTGAAATGTGTGAATGTTTGCAGAATCAGGGCCTTAATTTTTTACTTAAATCAGTTTTTCTTTTGTATGTAAGACTAAATCCTGCCCTCATTAAAGCTCTTGGCAAAGTTCTAGCTTACTTTAAACTGCATAGATTGGCTGCCATAAACTTCAACTACATTAATTTTTGATGCACTGAAAAACTTGTTTTCTGAAATAGAAATTATGAAATCTTAGACTGCATTTTAAAAAAACAACTTATCTTTGGTTAAGAATATGTGTTTAAGAGAGTGCTGTCTTTTCCCCTCTCTCTCTCTCTCTCTCTCTCTCTCTTTTGAACAAATACAGATCAGCATTGCTAGGCAAGGTGTTACGGATCAATGTGGACAATAATGACCGTGGGCCTCTTTATAGAATCCCTCCAGACAACCCTTTTGTTAGTGACCCAAAAGCTCGACCTGAAGTCTATGCATACGGGGTGAGAAATATGTGGCGCTGCTCTTTCGATAGGGGCGAACCCTACACAAAGGAAGGGAAAGGGCGACTTTTCTGCGGAGATGTAGGACAGAATAAATTTGAAGAAGTTGACATTATAGAGAAAGGAAAAAATTATGGCTGGAGAGCAAGGGAAGGATTCAGCTGTTATGATAAGAAACTTTGCACCAATTCCTCACTAGGTAATTATACACTCTAAATAAATGACCTTGATATTGGGTGGTGCCTGCTCTTCCATTATTGACTTCTGCTTTCACAGTTGATTGTGCAGTTGCAAACATGTATTTTTGGGTTTAAACTTGGCATATACAGCCTCATCCTGGGAGCAAGCTGACTTGAGAAGTTACATTAAAAATGTTTGCCATTTCTGAGTTACGAGAAAAATGAACTGAACTTTAATGCCCTGGCTATTCCACTTCTTAGCCAAATGTGCTGCTAATTATACCAAACTGTACCAAGTTTTCATGGTGGTTCTGTGATATGGACAAATATGCATGAGGGACAACTTTCATTTTTGCTACATAAGCAACAATTATATGCAAGTCTGTGGAAGTCAGAGCTATTTGCTTTATCCAACACCTAGCCCCTGAGATATTAACATTTTACTTATTTATCTCCATAACTTATAAATGGTTTAGCTTCATAAAGAGAGATTCTTCAAGCTATTATTCCTCTACATGGATTGGTCACTCTGCCAGCTTTTAAAAGGCTACTCTGTATGCAGTGTGATGGTTTATTTTTTTTAATCCCAAAAGGAAAACACTCTTAACTTTTTATTTTTAACACTTGGGCTCAGTACACATGCTGTCTGCTACAGTTTGGTCAACATAGTAAATCTCAGGGCACGCCATGCCATAAATGTGTCTGGATTTTGGGCCACAGCTTCAGTGGGAGTAAATTGGCATATCTTCACTGCAGCCAATGAAGTGACACCACTTTACACCAGCCAAGCATCCGGCCCATTGTGTTTTTATGTTGTTCAACACCCTACTTTTTTCTTTTTGCCATATAAACATCATTTTCCTATGAATTTAAATATAAGGAAATTGGTACATGGGAAAGGACGTTAAGAGCTATAAAATGTGGGTTAATGGGTTGGAAGGCACGTGGCACATTTTAAGTCTGAATTCTCTTCCTTCTGCCACTGAAAAAATAGCCTTTTAAGTGTCCTTTTAATGCCTTTCTGTGTGTCAGTTAGTTAAGCTACGTTAATGGGAACCTCTTTATCAGTGACACGGTGGGTTCAGAACAGTTTCTGATGCTTTCATAGATTCTTTAAAATTAAAAAGATTGAGTTGTCAGAAGTAACTACTTTAGATGGATATACAAAAATGATACAGCATAGCTTCCCATCTGCCCTGACCCTTACAATACATGAATGCACCATATAGTTAAGGGGAGTGGGAAGGGCTTGGCAGCTCTCAGGATCAGGTCCAGTGTTATGTTGTGTAAACTGCTTTCTTTATGGAAACAGCTCATTAATTTTCTTGTCCTCAACAAGGGATTTCCCATCTGGCCTTCCTCACCCACAGTACCCTCATCTTCCCAAGGCAGAGAGTTACATTTGTTGACAGAAGAGGGCTGCCTAGGATTCCCTTCAGATCTCATCAGTGCCCATTCTAGCTCAGCTACAGCGGTCGCTTCAGAGAGATGAGGCTCTAGAGCAGTGGGCTGAGTGTCAAGCTGCCATTCAAGGCTCTCCCAGAGCCAGTCGCGGGAGTACTCGCTGAGAGACTGCAGGAGAGTGCTGAGCCCTTTGGATTCCCAGCAAATAAGTGTGGGGGAAAACAGGATGGGGAGAGAAATACATTTCCCTTCTCCAATTTCCTAGCTGCTGTGAGGGAGAAGAGGGATAGAGAGGAGAAATGCATGACCTCTTGCCCCCATATACACGTGCCCTCTGTCCCTATATTCAGGAGAGAGGGAGGAGAGGGAGGAAACTTTTAAGATGGAGCCCTAGAGAGCCACAAAATGACTCTCTACCCTGGCAATGTTTTGTGGTGATTTCATGCAGATTTTGCATCAAATATGGCAACACTGTCAGGATGTCTCACCGCAATTATTTTGTGGCTCTTCAAGGTTAAGTTCCTCTACTTCAGAGTGACATGAGAGTTTCCCTCTGACAGGGTTGTGAATATGCCGTTTCTTTCATGCTTGCAAGCCCTGTTCTAGAGGGGAGAGACCAGGCTCAGAGATACAGCTACCCTGTTTCCCCGAAAATAAGACAGTGTCTTATATTAATTTTTGCTCCCAAAGATGCGCTAGGTCTTATTTTCAGGGGAGGTCTTATTTTTCCTGGAGCTTCGGGGCCTTATATTCCGGGGTGGCCTTATTATCGGGGAGGTCTTATTTTTGGGGGGATGCCTTATATTACAGCGAGAGGCAAAACTGGAAGTAGGTCTTATTTTCGGGGGATGTCTTATTTTCGGGGAAACAGGGTAGGCATCTTCCATGACAGCATGGAGCTAATCACAGAGCCCTTAGGTCCACCGCTAAGTGTACAAAATAATTTAAGTACTGGGTCAGTTTCTTAGTAAGGAGCCCCTAGTTATCACAGCCATTTGGGAGAAGAGACCCAAAAGGCCAAAGTGTAATAAAAATAAATTTGACTCCATTCAGTAGTTGATTTAGCACGGAACAAGAAGCTGGATGAGAACTTGATAGTACACATCCCTGTCTAGTAACTATCTACCATTTTATTGATAGAAAAGCTATTCTGTATCCTACTTAAAACAAGGCAAGACACAATATCTTCTCCCCTCTACAGATGATGTGCTTCCAATTTATGCTTATCCACACAAAATGGGGAAATCTGTTACAGGAGGCTATGTCTATCGGGGTTGTGAGTCTCCAAACCTGAATGGGCTGTACATATTTGGTGATTTTATGAATGGGTAAGTCCAGTTGCTCAGCAAGCATTACCCACAGCTGAAATCCTCCATTTTGCTCCATACGTCTGCAAATGCTTCTGCAGTGTAACCCTCGCTGACTTACTGCTCTTTGGTTGGTTTATTCTGAGTGCAATCCCTTATTGCATATTACAAATGATTCACGTAACATGTTTTCATGTAACCATTATTCCATGTTGTTGTGAAGGTATATGATTATCACAACAGCAGTAGATGTTGCTGATTCACTTGGTGTCAGTTCATGTGAATGGATGTGGCTTTGACATTGATTTAAAACCATAAAAGGAGAGTAAATGACCATTCTGTATTTTGGTGCATCTTTAATGCAGTGTACTGTCCAGCCACAGGAGGTATTTCCAGTCACAGGAGGTGCCTAACTCCCATTGAAATTAATGGGAATTAGGCACCTAAATACCCGTGAGAGTCTGTGTCCATGTATCTTAATGCTTCTGGTCCTATTAAATGTTCACCCCCTTTCATTTCTATTGAATCTAATGTGAGTGGAGAACACACATACGTCATAGGATTGGGCACTCTTAATTATCCCATTTGGTACTATTAGATCAAAAGTATCTGTCCCAGTTGCCTGATGCAAATTATTTTTTGTCTCACAGACGTTTAATGTCATTGAAAGAGAAGCGTTCTACTGGAGAATGGCAGTACACTGAAATTTGCATGGGAACAGGACAAACTTGCGTGTTCCCTGGGCTTATCAATAATTATTATCAGTACATCATCTCTTTTGCTGAAGATGAAGCAGGTAATCATATAGTATTACACTGAACAGTGCGGTTGTATTTTATCTTCAGAGCAAAACACCTTGGAATGAGAATACCTTTTTAGGTTAAGAAGCACGCATTCTGGAGGGTAGCTCAGGTAAGATCCAGAGTGTGCCCAAACATTGAAAAATTGGACTCCCAAGTTCTCGCAGCTACCAAAAACAAAAAAGCAATTGTCATGCTTTTCAGGCAGTGTACTATTCCTTAAATGGCCAGTGTATCATGCAATGATGAGCCCATCAGCAGTTTTGGGAGAGGGTTGCTTGCCTATTAATGTATTTATTTTTACTGTAGATCCATTTGTATTACCATCTGCCCCATTGTCATTTGGAGGGGAGCAAATGCCTGGGGACAAATACATTAAAACATCACTTAGAGGGAACATTAATCTCCAATTTGAAAAAGCCATAGGAAATGTATGGGAGTACATCTACACTGCAGTAAAAGAACCACAGCATGGTTTGGGGTTGGCCAGGGTCAGCTGACTCAGACTCATGAGGCGTGGGCAGCAGGGCTAAAAAGTGCAGTGTAGATGTTTGGGCTCAGGCTGGAGCCTGGGCTCTGAAATCCCATGAGGGAGAAAGTTCTCAGAGCCTGGGCTAAAGACCAAGCCTGAATGTCTACAATGCTCTTTTTAGCCCCACAGCCCAAGCCCTGCAAGCTCGAATCAATTAACCTGGGCTCTGAGATTCAATGCCAAGGTTTTTTTTTTAAATTGCAGTGTAGATGCAACGGGGTGTCCACCAGGTTGATGGTAAAAATGGAAGGCGTCTGGTATTTGATACAACACGCTTATGCTTTTGGCTCATTTAGGGATCTGGACTGGACACTATAAATGACTGACAGAAAATTAGACACAATGAGCGGTGAGAGTGAAACCTGCTCATACCGGCCTTGAATATTGTAAATCTCCTTTCGGAGTGAAACAGAATGGAAGTTGTACACTGTTTTAGTATCTTGCAATGTGTGAATTGCAAACAATTATATCTTTGCTTTTAGGTTCATACTCTGGCAAAACTTCCATTGGAGTCAATGAGAGTTTTGCTCAGGTAGCAGGCCTCGCTTTTAAATAATTTTATTTGTGGAAAGGCTTCAGGATAAGCTACTGGCTTTGTATGTTACAACAGTGATTTCTTATTATATGAAACGGGGGCGGAAGAGGATCTGAAGGGGAAACTTGACATTGGTCAACTGTTAGTACATTCATATTGTTAATTATATGGGACTGAAGTAAGGATAAGCACACTGTTCAATTCATAGCAGCAGACGAATTAGAGTCACTCCACAAATGTTTAGCATGGTTGCTAAGCAGCAGCATGCACTACATTGAAATTTAGGAGTTTGTGCTCTTAGCCATTGTAATGTAAGTCTTGTTGGCTTCTGATCACAATAACTCCTGCCACAATCCCTAAGGTATGTTTTTATAACTCTTTGTTGTTCCTGGACAGTTGAGTAGACAATGTTTGGTATTAATGCAGGCTGGATGCAATTGAAAACTGAATGTACAATTTTCCCCCTTTTTTTATATTTAAAAATAAAACCCTTTATTGACATAATTAGCCTATTCCCTCCCTAGGCTTCAGAGCCAGCACTCCAACCCAAACCACAACATCTACACTGCTGTTTTTAGCAACCGCGCAAACCCAAGACTGTAGGTTTTTTAAAACACAGCGGGGACCTACCCAGTGGAGTGCAAAGTGGATGTAAAATACCACCATTCTGTAGCTTTTTACACTTACATTGCACTGGAATAAGTGACTGTACAAGGTGCAATGGAGTATCAGGTTTGTAATCTGTTAACAGGTTTAGTTCTTCCTATGTATTCATTTCAGTATAATGGAAAGAGAAGGTATCACTAAATTAATATTTTCCTCTACTGAGTTCAGGGTATAATCTTCTCTTGGGCCCTTTTGCTGTCCAGAGATGTTTGTTTATGACTTTATCAGTCAGTTATTTGAGTGGGCCTTCCCTTACTAAAATGCTTGTTTTCAGGATTACTACTTTGACGAGTGGGAAACAGGCTCCTGTGCAATGGCAAACCACAATTTTTTTTTGGTGTACTTGTGGCATTTGCATAAAATTGAAGGAAGGTCCCAAATCAGCTCTCTGGTGCTAGTGTATGGGTGGGTATGTTCTGCATGCATAAAAGTCAGGTTATGTGCTTGGGTCCTGTGCACAGTTAACCTCATTAGTAGGGCAGTGACTATTTTCAGGTTAAATGTCTGGAAAAATTATTGATGAGTCCTGGCAAAATTTGATTAAAATCCAGGAGCAAATCTTGAGGCTCCCTATGCAGTTGGGATTATACCCAAGGAAAATCAGAGTAAAGACCTCAGGATTTTGCACACAAGGTTTCTCCTTGATTCCCACCCACACCCATGATTTCTTTGATCTCAACTCTCCTGCTGCTGCTTCCCCTTCTCCTCTTCACTGCATGCATAGGAGGTGCTTTCGGGGGTCTGGCAGGTCAAGGCTTCTCCCAACCAGCAGGTCTGTGCCTGTTTCTCTCTACCCTTCTCTCTGCACTTTGGGGATGGGTAACCCAGAGAATATCCTCAGCAGCAGGCCTGAAGCCAGTCACTGTGAGGCAGGGTTGAGGAACCCAAAGTATAGCCTTTCCAGCAGGCAGGCTGGTGAATGAAGTGTGTGTGAAGGAAATCAGTGAGTTTTGACATAAAATTCTCTCTGTCAGGTAGAGCTGTATGAATAATCTGTAACTAATTTATTTGATCAAATTTGTCTTCATAAAAATCTATTTTCTCCAATTATTTTAATATTTTCACAGAATAATTCTTGGTACATAGCCCATTCTCTGTCTGTTTGTTGTATTTTGTATTCAGTCTTTTTGATTGGATGCATAGGTTTCATGACAGGTTTCTCTTCCCAGACAGTAATTCTTACTTGTTTTTCTAAGGAGAACTTTACTTCATGTCTACTGGAGTACCAAGTGCCACTGCTCCCAATGGAGTAGTTTACAAAATAGTAGACACCTCACGGTAAGAAATGCTCATTACAAAATCTACATTTTGGTTCAGTGGACCTGGATTCAAATGTGATTGATGGTTATGGCTGAAATAAATTGCTCTTGTTTCACCTTGGTCCCTTGTTAAAGAGTAAACCAGTGTAAACAGGGACTGGCTTCATATTAGAGAGTTGTGAGCAAGCTTCCTAGTGGATGCTCTGGGTTTCCACAGAGTTGGAGTCTGTATTGCTGGGTGATCCATGGATTTGCTTTGAAGGGGGTTGTATACCTTACCTGGGTGTGAGGGTTATTCAATGTTAGCTTGAAAAGCAGGCAGCTGGTTTTGTGGGACTCGAGTCTCTCAGAGGCTGCTGTATTAGGGGACAATGGAGCCTCACGACTTCTGCCCAAACTGATGCTGCCTTTGTCAAGGTGGTTGATATGTTCCCGACAGGCCCATCTACTCCCTGTTCCCTCCTGCATGAAGCCTACCTCCACAGAGTGCCTTCTGCAGCTGGCCAACATCTTCTGCAGGGGAGGTGCGAGATCCATGTCCACAGAGGGGCTTCTCTATGTGAATTAAAGGGCACAGCCCAGCCTGATATTAGCACCACCACTTTCTATAACTAAAACAGAAAAAATAAAATAAAAAGTGAATTTACTTTTTGCCATTTATGCTTTTGGTGTAATGGTGGAACTAGCTTGGACAGTGGCATGAAGACTAGGGCTTCACTTTCGGGATCTTATGTTATTGCACGAAGTTGTTGTATCTGGGACATTAACAATGTAGGAAAATCTTGGGGAGGATTTATAGATTTTAATTTACTTAAAACATGACTATTAAAGGACCAAATAATGCCTTCAGATAAATGCACCCAGTAGGCTTTTTAAGGCGTGTGTTTATTTAAAATAAACTAAATTTGGGCATCAGCTCTCTGAGCATCTTTTTCAAGTCTGCATGGGAAAACTCCATATTTCCAGAGAATATCTCTCTACTTTCTAATTGTATATTGGTAGTTTCTGAATTCCAGAACTTCACCCTTCTCTTTTTTTCTCTGACTCCTTTGCAGACTAGTACTTTTTAGATTGTATTATTGCCCATCAACTGAAACAATTTAGAATATTTCCTGCATGCCACAGAATGTATTAAAAAGATGCTTGCCGTTTCCATGGTACAAACCAGCATCTTAAAACCATAGGCATCACTTTTTAAAATGCAAAGTACAATGCTTATTAGTATCAAACCACATAGAAACATTTAAATTCTTGAAAAACAGAACTCAACAGGCAATCTATAAGTTATAAATGAAGGTCTCCTTAGTAATACTCATTATAGAGCATAACAGTGGAAAAATAAAGATTTGTATAAGGGCTTACAAAAGTATAGTATCCACAAGTCAATAAGTGAGAGAGCTAGTCTTCATGTCTGGCTACTACAGTCTTCTTTCCAGACACAGCAGATGCAAACGACTCTAATTATATAGGGATTATTTGCTGCATGTGTGCATGCAAATAGACTGCATTATCCAACTGTTGCACTGCTTTGAAAATCCTCAGAAGCCCTGAAAATAACAAACCAAATATCAGAGGAAAAAGTGGCTATGTACTGGGTGTAACTTCTCAAAAGTGAGGGACACTGCCATGGCAAACAAGCTTGAGTCAAATGAATGTAGCATTTTAGGAGAATGTTTCTTTAAAAGGGACTCTGAATGTAAAAATCTAATTTGAAGTGAATTGCATCTGTGATGCCATTTAAACTGTTAACTTGCTGTCAGTGACACATTCCAGATTCTTTTTATTTTCCATTTTAAATCATTCTTTCTGGCTCCTTTCTATTGTGTGAATTGTGGTCCAAAGTGAAGTGTATTTTTGTTTTAAATATATAAATGATTGCATGCCATCTTGTTTCTATGGAGATGGCTTGGAAACTTGCATGTGAACATGACATTCATTTCAGCTATCTAACAAACATTGTGTAGCTTTATGCTTTTTTCTGTTCAATTTGATTCATATCTTTCTGTATTGCTTGAACCCACCAATGATTTGTACTTTGATGGATCCAGCAATGATAAAGAAAATGCTATCAAAATATTGCACATGCTTGTGAATATTTGAGCTCTCTGTTATACAGAGTGAATAGGATTTTGTGAGGTGGGATGTAAGAGTTTATTTGGGTCATTTAAATAGACTTTTTTCTACAAGTGTGAAATTCATTGAAAAGCAATGGAAACAAAGAATGCTGCTGATACCATTGGAAAGCAATTCATCCTGCATTGTCTGTGTTCCCCTTTCACAGGAGAGCACCCCCAGGAAAATGCCGGGTTGAGCCTTTGTCAGTGAAAGTGAAAAGCAGGCTCATAAAGTTTGTGCCAAAGGAGAGTGAGTATTGTTGTTGCTCCTTATTTTTAATCCATAAATATAAACTCAAAACCAGCATTGTCTGTTTGGATGTGCAAACCATCCAGAGCCTTGGCCCCAGTCTATCCTTAAAAATAATTTCTACCTACTCCTTTTTAATATAAGGAGTGGAAGGATAGTTGGGGCACTAGCCTAGGACTTAGGAGAGGCTGGTTCAATTCCCTGCCGCGCTACAGACTTCCTGTGTAACCTTGGGCAAGTCACTGAAGGCAGGTCTACACTTAAAACGCCGCAGCACTTCAGTGAAGACACTACCTATGCTGATGGGAGGGCTTCTTCTGTCGGCATAGCTAATCCACCTCTGTGAGAAGTAGTAGCTGTGTCGACGGGAGAAGCTCTGGAGTATTGTGTCCAGTTCTGGGCACCACATTTCAAGAAAGATGTGAAGAAATTGGAGAGGGTACAGAGAAGAGCAACAAGAATGATTAAAGGTCTAGAGAACATGACCTATGAAGGAAGGCTGAAAGAATTGGGTTTGTTTAGTTTGGAAAAGAGAAGACTGAGAGGGGACATGATAGCAGTTTTCAGGTATCTAAAAGGGTGTCATAAGGAGGAGGGAGAAAACTTGTTCACCTTAGCCTCTAAGGATAGAACAAGAAGCAATGGGCTTAAACTGCAGCAAGGGAGGTTTAGGTTGGACATTAGGGCAAAGTTCCTAACTGTCAGGGTGGTTAAACACTGGAATAAATTGCCTAGGGAGGTTGTGGAATCTCCATCTCTGGAGATATTTAAGAGTAGATTAGATAAATGTCTATCAGGGATGGTCTAGACAGTATTTGGTCCTGCCATGAGGGCAGAGGACTGGACTCGATGACCTCTCGAGGTCCCTTCCAGCCCTAGAATCTATGAATCTATGACATTGTGCTGTCTACACTGGGAGTTAGGTTGATATAACGGCATCGCTTGGGATGTGGATTTTTCACACCCTTGAGCAATGTAGTTATACCAATTGAAGTTTGTGGTATAGACCTCACCATAGTCTTTCTGTGCCTCAGTTCCGCGTCTGTAAAATGGGAATAGCAGCACTCCCCTTCCTCACAGTGTTGTGAGGATAAATACATTCAAGATTGCGAGGCACTCTGATACTGTGGTGGTGGGAGGCCATAGAAGTACCTAGGATAGACATACTAAACATTCAGCTTAGACTGTCCCTCCTTACATGACTTTTTCCTATTCCCTCCCATCTTCCCTTTCTGTGGTAGATAGTGATATGGCTGTCTCATTAAGAGCAGCGTGGATTCCCTGTGCCAGGGCTTAAATTCAGCCGGAGCCATTCAGAGCGGAGCTCGGGTAAATATTCCGGTAGGGCAGAAGCCCTGAGCCCCGCCTCCTCCTGTGGCTGCGGGGCAGAAGCCCTCAGGCTCTGGGAAATTGTGAGAATTTAAACCCTGCCTGTTGCCATCTCTGCCCTGGAATCTTGAATTCTACAGTGCTCTCCACTAGGAAAACAGTGGATTTTGGAGTACCTCTGAATAGGCAGAAGCACTTCAGGGGGTGAAAAATCTTGTTATTAGAGGACTGGAAAGTAGCTCATTGGGAGAGATTGGATCTGAGCCATTGTTACTTAGAGATTGGGAAAGGATGAGGAAAATGCTCTCAAAAGATTCAGTTCAGTCAGATAGTCAGCTGAACTTCTGGCTTACGCAAACCTTCCAGTCCCTACTGATTGCCTGTTACTAAATGTAGTATTGCATAATGATAGACTTTATCAATTAGTGAGCTCCAGAATTGCTGAGTACATTGCGAGATCAGGCCCTAAAACCAACAATGTGTAAGTTTCCAGAGTGTAATAATCTCTTCTCTGTATTGTCAGTTTCCCCAATTTCTTTCTGCCTTCAGAAACTGAGCTTTCAGAATAGGGAATGCTTTTCATGCTACAAACAGGACCCCCCTGCCAACACATGGGATTCTGGGAGGATGTTCCAAAAATTGAGTCCCTCCAAATCTTGGCCAGTCTAGAATGTGGGTTATTAAGGAGAGGGTGGTGTCTGACACTTTTTCCCCTCTGTATATTAAAAAGGATAATGAGTGAGGTTGGAGGGGAAGTCCGTAGGCTAAACAGCAGAATTTTGACATCTTTGGAAATATGCATAACATTGTGAGAGCTACTTGGTTGATTTATTATTCTGAATAAAGCAACTATCCCTTTGACTAGCCTATATTTATTTTTAACTTAAAAATAGAATGAATAAGCAAGTCCAGTAATTCCTGGAAGCTGCAACAGTAAAATATGTCCAGCCCTTTGCAGTTCAAGGCTGTTTTAAAAAGACCCACTGTTTTATGTGTTGTCCTGGCAACTCGGCTCTTTTTGCACGTTCCAGTTACCAGAGAGAATTGATTGTGAATGTTTGTGATTCCAGCCACACTGAAGTATCTGGCACAGTAGGGAGGCTGGAGCTCTCACAGTCTGGTAATGATCCAATCATTAGTAATGAAGAGGACTGCAGAAGTAGAAGCATGTCTTTAAAAATGCTTTCTGCAGGGACAAGAGGTACAGGGAGAGAATTCTGTTTCTTGCCAGAAGTCTTCAGCAAGTCTGACTCTTGATGTGTCCACGCATTAAAGTTCTGTCAGTAAACTGTGCATGGAAATTTGGTAATGTTTCCTTTTTTGTCCTATTTATTGGCATTGAACAGTGCAGTCATCTCCAGCAGCCAGACATTCTTAAAAGCACTGGAAACTTTTAGCTGATGCAATGTTGGTTTAACTACTCAACAAGATCAAGAAAGCAAACTCCATTAGAGAAGTTAAATACAGTGGAGCTATAAGTTAGCACTGTTTTTATGTAGTCATTTTAAACTATTGTACTAGCTTTATAGACTCATTATTGTTACCTCTGTTTTTCCCCCAATAAGAACTGATTGTGAAAACACCAACCCAACGGCCTAGATTAAGGACCACCACCAAAGCCCCAAGGAGGGGTAGGCCAACTTCCGAAACACCCCGTGCCACTACTCCAGACTGGGTGGAACAAATCTTGAACCTTCTAAGGAATCAAAATAGAGTGCAGGTGACCTCCAGAACACCAACAACCAAACCCCCGAAGTCCAGGAAAGGGGGGAAGAGTGGGGAAAGGAGAGGGCAGAGAAGGAAAAACAAACCTCCCAGCACTCTGTCTCCCCCACAGCTCCTGAGTGGTGCAGTGCGACTGATGAACAGGCAAGCACGAGGAAGGGACCGGGGAAGGGTGGAGATTTACATAAGTGGAGAGTGGGGCACTGTATGTGACGACTTGTGGAACTCCAAGGCGGCAGCTGTGGTGTGTCGCCAGTTAGGGTTCCCTTATGTTGTCAAGGCAACCAAGAGAGCGGAGTTTGGGGAAGGACATTCGCTTCGGATTCTTCTTGATGATGTTGAGTGCACTGGGCAGGAGAAGAACCTGCTGGAATGCACACACGCAGACATTGGCAAAAACAACTGCTCCCACAAAGAAGATGCAGGAGTGATATGTAGCCATGAAGAGGTTATAAACTGAAAACTAATAACAGCACATTGGGAGGAATGGGAGGGTAGAACTGGACTAAACTCATCTTTCTTTTTCCCCCCTTTTAAACAGTGGATGTATTGAATACAGTATATTTAGCCCTGAGGATGCTATATCTGATTTAAGTAATCTTGCAGTCTTGTCCCCATACATTCTATAATGTGTGTGCTGAGAGGAGAGAGAATGTACAGAACATAATCGCTTGAGCATGTGTGTGATCAGGGATCAGGGTTTTCTTTTTTACAGGTAGAAACAGAAACATCCTCATGTTAGCGATTATGAAATAGAAAGATGCACTCCTTTGTCATCTCAGATGCAACTATAGCACAGCGTTCCCCCAGCCAGGTCTGGCAGCATTCTGCTGAAAAACATTCCCAAATGGCAGTGTTTTAAAGTTTTGTTTATCCAAACCTTCACATTGCCTGCTTAACTGTTCTGGCACCTGTACAAAAAACTGAACATTGATCTTTGAGCATCTACGAGTCTGTGTGTTTTGTTGTGGAACATGGAGATAACTTAGTGTTGAATCTCCATGCTCTGGCTTAAAAAGGAAAATGAAGACAGGGGCCTGATTCTCCTCTCTAGCTGTTTTTTATGCTGGTGTAAATGTATTGACTAAAGTGGGAATTACACCTGTTTACATGAGGAAGGAATCCTACCCAGAGTCACTGTAGTGCCTGGAAGAATTATGTGTTAAATTCTACTAATTGATTGAAATTTCAGAGAGTCTTGTCTCATCTCACTTGCACCAGAGTAACCTCATTGACTTCACTGGAGTACTCCCATTTACACCACTGTAAGCAAGAGGCAAATCCAGCCCATAGTACATATGGTGGCTCTAATCCAGTTTAACTGCAGTTATGGAGACACTTCAGTCCTGATTGTACCCTGCCTTGAGCCTTGTGTAGCCACATACCTCTGTGCAAAACAGGTGCAAAATGCTACCAAATCAGAAATGTAGCATTTTACACCCATTTTGCACAGGTGTAAATGACTACACAAGGGGCAATGTCAAAGAGAACAAAGCCTGTTACACATGTACTATCCTTAAAGGGACACCATCAGCTTCAAAAAATCTCACACTTCTGTCTGAATTGTTTTTTTGTTTTTTATACAAGTAACACATAAGTAACACTAACTGAATGAGTGGAAACACATTCTCTCTCTCTCTCTCTCTCTCACTTTTTAAAATAGTTTTTGTCCTCATTTTATGTACAGTAATTTTAACTTTATATTCAGTGTCCATTTTCTATTTACTGTGTATCTTTCACACAGCAACATGGGAAAGATAAAAAAGGGAATATGTAGTACTTGTAAAGACAGCCAGCAGAATTCAAACGCAAGACTTAGAATCTGCAACTATTGACTAATTTTGTTGAAATAGCCCAGAATCCAAGCTGACCACATCCTTTCAAATCCAAAACACAACTCCAGATGCTAAATAAATTGGTTTAAAATGATCATTCCTGAAATTTCTTGAAGACCCTATAAATAATCCTTGATGGTAAAGAATGGCGTCAGTGTGTAAGCAGAGATGATGAAAGGAGTAGCACAGACTACAACTTTCTGTTCCATGTTAATCAAATTAAAAGGGGAAAACAAAGAAGTAACGTGCCTTTTGTGGAATGGTTTCAGAGTAGCAGCCGTGTTAGTCTGTATCCGCAAAAAGAACAGGAGTACTTGTGCTCAAATAAATTTGTTAGTCTCTAAGGTGCCACAAGTACTCCTGTTCTTTTTGTGGAATGTTATTCTTGTTGCCGCAAAAAACTAAAAAGGTCATCAAGGCTTTTTTCACGGCAATCCAGTAACCAGGTGCAGCTGTTGAAAACTTGGGGATACTCAGTTTGGATGTATCAGATTGTTTTGGGAACAATTAGAGAAGCCCTTTGTAAATTTGTCTATAAAACCATTGGGCCACATACAACAGTTTTTTGGGCGGGTTGGGGGAAATATAAATTATTTCTTAACATTTGTTTTAAAAAATTCCCCTTCCCCTTTCTTTTTTATAATCCAATTTATAGCTGTTCAATTTTAAACGGAAATTTGAGGGGGTGTTCTGCTTAAAATCTGAGGGTAGGTTCTGGCCCACGTGAACTAAAGCTATCCCAGAATACTCCTGGATGATTAGAGTATCTTTGCCAAAGACAAGGTTGGGAGAAACCTTAACATGGCAAAGAGGGGAGGTGATTGAGTACTCCTCAGATTAAAGTCTTTATTTTACGCCTGCTTTTCGCCAGCTGGAGCCTTTGGCAGCAGAATGTACGTAAATGCCACCTCATCGTCGAGGACTGTCAGTGTTGATCACCAGCATCTCCTAGTTGCTGCTGTTGCCACCTTGTGGCATTCATTCTCTGCTGGGAGAGGAGAACGTAAGGAATACTCAAGGCCACGGCTATCACCTCTCTATTGGTACACGGGGGAGGTGATGACAACTGACACCAGCAAGTTCAGTTACAAAGCTCTGCAGTCCCAATGTGTGCTGTGGGAATCATGTGGATGCCACATAGCGTATAGAGAAAATATACAGTATTCGAAACAGAGACCGTCTATTATATTTTTCCCTGACAGTTTCCCACCAGTGCTGTGCTCCCACAGTTGCTTCCACCAGAGGAAGTGCAACGGTGGGAAAACTTGGGGGGCAGCATAGACAAAGAGAAAGTGAGTGCGTGCATTCTATGCATATTCATACAACAGAGAAGGTAAGTATTCCTGATCATCATGATCCCTTCTAGCCTTAAAAATCTATGTATTTCACTCTCTAATTCTGCAGTATTTAAATAAAGAGCCTCTGATGCCAAAGGCTTGAAATACCTGTACATTTAAATATTTGATGCATCATCAGCTATTTAATAAGATTCTTACTGTTAGTATTTGTCATTCTTTTAATGCTCACTGCTTCACTTGTTTCACAGTTCACATATAAATTTAGTTTGAGATATGTCCTATTCCTTCATCAGAATATGCCAATGCACAGACCTCTGTGCTAGTGGACCATGATGAAGGATCAGCACCTTAAACTGTCAGTTACCACAGTGCAATTGTGGATATGTTATTCATGTGTTATGTGGCTTCCCCAGAGACTTTGCCTTAAACTGTTGTAGTGTTGCTGTGTGCTGTTAAACAATTGCTTCTTTCCACCCCAGAAGTGGCTGCGTTTCAATATTGGATTGCAGTTCCTCTGTATGTGTATGCAGAGTTTCTGAAACACTTTAAGAACCTTGAGGAGGAAACATGCTGTATAAATTGAGATGTTTTTATCCTCTATCTGGTAATGTAAATATATCTCAAAACTAAGCTATTATATGTTCTCTTTAGCCGCTAAGGAGTCCTGGACCACCAAAAGAAAGAAAAATAGTTTGAAAATGAGTTCTATTTCATCTGTGTGAAATTTCAGTTTTAGATTTTTAAGAAATATGCAGAGCAGAATTCTGCAGTGAGAACCCTGCCCACTTCCCATGTATCAGCTTGCTGGGTATAAACAGTAGCCCACACATTTCTTACACTACTAAATACAAGCAGGTTTCTAGAAATTTTGGTGGTGCCCAGAACCTGTCCCCCCCCCAAACTGTCTTTAATTAATATTAAGGCTCTGACTCAAACCTCAGGAAATTGAGTATTAGCATTGCAAGTGACACGCTGTTTTTAACATGTCAAAGAATGGAAGAAAACAAAGACACCAGGGTATGAGTCAGGGACAGAATTTCAGCCTTAGTGGCACATTTCCTGGCATTAGCTGGATAGTCACACCCCAAATTAAAGTTATTTAAACTTTATTTTTGGGTGTGTGTGAGATTGAGGGGGAAAAGGGATCACTGAGTGCAAAGTTGTTCTGAAATGCATTGTTCTCTGCACTGAACAACCAGGGAGTGGTGTCTGAGGGACTGGGATGCCCTCTCAGAAAAGCTGGATTCCCAGATATTCTCATGAAAAAAATTTTAAACCCAGATGGTGCCAGCCAGCCTGTATTTTATAAATAAAAAACCCAGATTCTAAAATTAATTTTTGAAATTTTGGGATATATTTGAAAAAAATGTTACATCTTCACTTCTGATGTGAGCATTTTGCACGAATGAATTGAGGTGAGTTCGCCTACAAGCAAATATTTTCCTGCATATGTTGTAAATGACATGTACAAGATTAATAACAGAGAAGCAACTATGTAATGCAAGAGTTCCAGTAATGGGTCCTGTCCATGGTTGTGTACTTATAGTTGGGGGAAATGTTATTTGCTCTTACTCTAACCCAGATAATGTGCACTCTAGTACTGTAGTGATGGGTACCATACAAATCTACACAGTAATAATAGTAAAACCCAGGAGATCAGCTGTTAAGACAGTTGACCATCAGAACACCAAGATGGATTTTTTTTTTATTATACTGGTGCATATTTTTATATAAGGTTAGCCTGCTTCTATTTTAAACCTGTGATTATATTCCCTATCCCCAAAGTTATTTATAAAGCATTGAGCTGAGCTGGATGTATCCATGATAATACCACACAGTGCTAGTGCCTTTTGCTTGCTGTGTATCACAATATAAATTGAATACGTTTAAACCTCTAGCACATTTTATAATCATAGATAAGTGGAGCAGTTTTGCTTTGCCATCACACAGTAAGAAAGCACGAGATTACATGCTCTATATACTAGATTTTAAATTCCTTGGGGGCAGAGACCAGGCCTCTGTCTGTTGTAAACTGTAGTTGCTCAATGATTAGTCTATGATGACACTAGACCATTAAACAGACAAGGAAGCACCAACGAGAAAGCAAAGACAAATTTTATAGGGTGAGGTTTTGTTTTCAGTGACAGTAAAATCCATTTACCTCCCATTAGACAAATGCCTGAGTATTTTCATTGTTGATCCACGCAATCATTTTCTGTCAGAGTAATGTCTGCATTACGGTGTCTAAAAATGTTCTAGCACACCATGATGCTATAGATCTTCTATAAACTTGTTATAAGTGATCTGAATATTCCCACAGGCAGCACAGATTATGGTCCTAATCCTGCAAGCAGTTACTACTGAGAGCATCTATCATCCTCCCAACCCCCATGAGCTATGTGTAAAGGAAGGCTAATGCTTGCACAGATTATGGTAACTATATGCTGCAAAAGACCCTATAGTAGCAATGTGATGTGCTATTGATGCCAATATAAAATACTAATATACAAGTGTTTATTTCCATTGGCTATGGCACTCTGCTCAAGCATGGTGCTTGCATAGTCCCTGAGCCTGCACTGAGTTCAGGGCTCTGCCCGTATAGTGCTCTGTACAGTTTTGAAGATTTAGATGGTAAACTCTTCAGGAGGGACTGTCTAAATTGTCAACACCAGTGCTGAGCATGCTGATGATACTTAATGAATAGCCACCATGTTCATTTGCTTATTTTAGATGGATGCTGTTAAAAAAGAAAACAAAAATCCTCTTATTTGGAAACCTGCTTTTATTGACAAATTCAGAACTGTCCCAAAGACCCACCCCTCTGCATCCCTCAAACTGGTCAAGTATGTGGTGCAGAGATAGTGAATTGTTTTCAAGTGCAAGCTGCTGTCTTTACTATGCCTGCTACCTCCTCTCATCACAAAACATGTCACTAGCTATCCTGGGACTGGAATAACAGACAACTATATACAAGAACCCCTCCGTCTCACCACTCTTAGCTTCACAGATCTACAAACACATCAAAACATCTGTTATCTACAGCCAGGCCCTCAGATACCACAGAATGCAGGATATACACCTTAACACACTTAAAACTCCCTTCACCAAACAAGGACACGCCACCAGACATAGATTCATAGATTCTAGGACTGGAAGGGACCTCGAGAGGTCATTGAGTCCAGTCCCCTGCCCTCATGGCAGGACCAAATACTGTCTAGACCATCCCTGATAGACATTTATCTAACCTACTGTTAAATATCTCCAGAGATGGAGATTCCACAACCTCCCTAGGCAATTTATTCCAGTGTTTAACCACCCTGACAGGAACTTTTTCCTAATGTCCAACCTAAACCTCCCTTGCTGCAGTTTAAGCCCATTGCTTCTTGTTCTATCCTTAGAAGCTAAGATGAACAAGTTTTCTTCCTCCTCCTTATGACACCCTTTTAGATACCTGAAAACTGCTATCATGTCCCCTCTCAGTCTTCTCTTTTCCAAACTAAACAAACCCAATTCTTTCAGCCTTCCTTCATAGGTCATGTTCTCAAGACCTTTAATCATTCTTGTTGCTCTTCTCTGGACCCTCTCCAATTTCTCCACATCTTTCTTGAAATGCGGTGCCCAGAACTGGACACAGTACTCCAGTTGAGGCCTAACCAGCGCAGAGTAGAGCAGAAGAATGACTTCTTGTGTCTTGCTCACAACATACCTGTTAATACATCCCAGAATCATGTTTGCTTTTTTTGCAACAGCATCACACTGTTGACTCATATTTAGCTTGTGGTCCACTATAACCCCT